AAAGGCTCCTTGTGCGAAATACATTTGCGTTAGCCTCGGGAAAACTCCGGTACTGATAACAGCAACTAATTTATCCACCGAATCAAAAAAGATTGCATTCTGATTGATGAACAATCGACAAGAGTTATTTGTTCCCGGCGACACTCAGCTTTCCACTAACGCCTTGAATTTCCCGAGTCTCGGACCGTCATTCGCACCAACACAGAATATCAATGCAATAACATTCCGTAAAGTTGTGGGAGGATTACATAGATTGAGAGATCTGCTAGGATACTGAAAAGTGCAGAGTATTAGTTTGAACAAAGAAATGTTCTCACCTTTACTCACATAAGAAGAGGGGGCATTGCGTTCGCAGTACGCTAACATCCCATCTCATCACCACTGCAAAGACCAGCGTCCATTCTCGTGACGTGTGTACCGCTCTTTCTAACTGTAGCGACTATTCCTAGTTGAATACAGCATGGATAAAATTGACCGAACGTTCTGAAAAGAAAAGAGAAGTGGAGAACTGAAAATTCTGGTAAAAAGTGGAAGGGTTACCTGCTAATTTCAGGCGTAATTGACGCTCATCTATGAAGAACCCAGAATGCATGCTATGACAGGAAAGATCCATGATAAGTGAAGATGGAGAAATACCACGTGATCATTATAAAGTTGTCGTTGTCAGTTGACCGAAGGTCTCCTCTTTCCTTTTGCTTTCCAGATAAGCAAAGAAACAGAACGTGCGATAAACGACATGTAGGAAGAAGCCATCCACGATAATGACAATGACGAGACCAACCATGACAGCCGCTGTCACTAGGCTCGAATCTGGACCTAGTGGTCATTATTAAATTCAAGCAATAACCCCAGATGAGGTCGTGTCGAAAATGTTGTGAGAAATGCTAAGAAATAATCTTATCGCTGTTAACTGTCCAAGTACCTCAAGCAAAGATTCCCCCAGGAAGGTCCGCTGGTTCTGATGACCTAAGTATCGCTCTAACTTTTCAGGTTCACAGAACTTTCTCCTCTAGGCTGAAATGGATCGTTGATAGGCCTGTTTGTCGGATCAAGCAGTCCTTGAAACGTTTAACCAAGTTTCAAAAGCACTTCACTCACTATTGAATAGCTGATCGCATCAAACCCAGGGTCAAGCGAGGCGTCGAGGAAAATTCGGAAATACGACCCCCCCCCCCCTCTGCCGAAGGCCGAAGTCCATGAAACAACCCTCTTTAAAAGCCGAACTATGAAAAAGTTGTTTAATTCTCCACCAAAACTGCTCATAAAAAAGCCCTGCTACCCCATCGTCCACAAAAAAAACTCGTTTAAAAAGTATAAAAGTGAAAAAGTCAAAGAATGATCATTAATGACGAGTCCTGTCAAACGAGCAAACGAGAAACGGAGCAAAAAACGTCAAACTAGTCACTAGAAATGGCGTACTATGACAACACCTCTTCTTTGTTTATTTCCTCCACAAGACTTACCAAATTCTAGTACTACACAGATTATGGTTCTCAATTTACACGTCCCCCTTTCGCTCAAAGGAAGCCTTGTAAAAGCCTTCGCCAGCTGTGTGTTGACTGGACTTTGGCGTTGACCGTGGAGCAGCTTATTTACTATTGAAATTTGAACAAATATTCAAATGATTATAACTTTCTTCAAAGTTAACGAATTTTCAATCTGAAAGCTGATTTGGGAGTTTTGTGAAGAGCTTTTTCTAATCAGTACTGAAATTACAGGAAGTTATAAGAAATAACAAATTTAGATCAAATAACGAGGAAAATTCGAGACGAGCACGAGTTTTTACACTTTCCGGAGCAATAACTTGCTTCATTTCCGTCAAATTCAAAAAGTTGATACGTCATACAAAACTAGAAGATTTTCTCTATCAAACGGTCGCTAAAGCAGCTTCATACGTCCAGTACTCAAAAAATGGCCACGTTGAGGATTTTTGCAAAATTAACGAGGAAAATTCGTGATGAGTGCGAGTTTTTACGCTTTCCAAAGCCATAACTCCGTTCAAACTCATGCAATCTGGAAAGTTAATACGTCATCATAAACTAGAAGATTTGCTCTTTCTAAGGCAACTAAAACTGCTAAATACGTTCACTATTTAAAAAATGGCCACGTTGAGGATTTTTGCCCGAGTACCGCCGAAAGGTACTTTTTCGCTACATTAGCACTATCCCAACGACTATAGCTCCTTGCAGGAGCGATTACATACTGAAGTAGGAGCAGATTCAAAATCCTCGTGCTTTTCTCTCTGCAAAAAGTGTAAAATTGTTTAGCGGGTCTCAACTTTAAAGGTTACATGCTTGTGAATTTGACGCTGAAGGCTGCGTTTCTTGTTGAATAGTGTACTCCTCTCTGTAATTTAACATGAACTCTTTCAGAACCCTCTTGATTCTTCCTGAATTAAGATTCGTTATCAAGATAGCCGTAGCTGAAGCGCGCGCAACCAACTGGGCCCACTCTGGGATGCGCCGTGTGCTTCACATCTCGTTGGATTTGAGGACCTACTTGAAAGATAAAATATCCCTAGAAAACGTGCGAATTTCGGATCCTTTGACTTGTGTGGTGATGAAACACTAAAGTCACTAAGAATTGCTAAGCGGGACACCTCTAAATCACGAAGATTTTGTGTGGACGGAATCAATTGTTATTGGAAATACTCTGGCCTGGTATCGATTCGATCCTTAATGTTTGTCCTCCGACGATGATCCTACTGTATCAATCGGGCCCGATCTCTCCCCAGCGGGCCAATACGACCCCCCCCCCTCTGTGACATGTCGAGGATTCCTCAACGCACGCTTGACCCTGCTACCAATAACTTAGCATGCAAACGAAAGAGAAACTATTGTGCATTTTTGAAATATTGCACTCTCAAAGGCACAAAACCCAGGCAGAGGTCGTGTGAACGCTTCTCTTCGGTCTGTAGTATAGACCCTAGAGGACAATCACAAATGTGGCGTTCTCGTGCACGGAAACCAACCGATAAGAGCGCTTGGGCCTTGCAAAGTAAGCTGCCCAAGCTGCAGACTTTTTTCTTTATCAGGCTGTTGTCTGGCGCTCTCTCATCTGTAGCGCTCTCTCGCCTCATACTCTCCTCTCCGCGCTTAGTCTCTCATTCCCTTAGCACAGCCGATTAGGAAGGTGAGTGAGCCCTTAACCTAAGCGTTTTCGACGGATTCTTTTCCTTTTTTCTTTACTGCCGGCCCACTTTCGCACCAATACATTCGCATTCGTGTGCAAGAGCCACACCAATGTGATCCTGGGGCATGCCTTTAAGTCCGAATGGATGAGTGAAAGCGCTCTGATAGAAATTGTTCAATTCAAAAAAACAGAGAGCAAAGGCGTATGTTACGATGAAAAGGCAGCCTATTCGGACTTGAGTTATAGAAGAAAAAAACCAAGAATGGCCTGGAACCCGAGAAATGGGACCCCTTCCTTGCCCGTTGATTTCCGCATTGATGCGACTCTCATCGGTGCTGCCCTCTTCAACGCTAACGCTCTCTCTGCTAAACGGCTAGAGGCTCAGACAGCGAGAGGGGCGTACCGCGCCGATAGCGCGCCAATAGCGCGCGGGGAAGGCCATGCTAGATCGCCGGGGCATATCCTTCGATGCGAATTGCGTGTCGGTCCGCACCCTTAGGAGGTCCGCCTGTCTCTTCCACTAGGTAAGTTCCCTTCTTCGACCTTCGTTCTCACCATGGAATCCTTCCTTTAAGTGATCGCCAGTTGAAAAAGTAATCTTCCTATTTAATGCTCACCTTCACTTGGGACGGCTATGGAATGATGCATCTGTTGAGTGTGATCATGTTCATCATCTGCTGTATGGGAACGGAGACTTCTCAGATTGGAGAGGATATTGTTTGGGAGATCACTGCCTTTGGCTAACTTCCACAAGCAAACTGTGAGCAACAGGCAGAGCGATAGTATCCACACAGACTGGAAGGCATAATCTTCCGAAAGTTGTAAAAAAGGAAAAACTATAATCTCACATTGAATAGAATGTAAGGTTTCATCAGTCCAGCACGGTGTTTCAGCAGTCCCAAAAAGAGCGAGAGCACAGTGAAAAAGTCAGCGGCGAGCAGAATAACCTCGAATGTTCCACTCAATCCTAATCGAGGAACTCCGAAAAAGTAAAGTGTAGCGTTCGAAATTGTTGCCAGCAATGAGGAAATTCCGACGATGTGACAGCCCATCTGAATGAAATTAAGGGAAAATGTGGTTTGTGTTAGTCTCTTTGGCTTATAATTTTTCATTTTTATACTCTGCAGTATTTTTCTAGGATCATGCCTTAACTTCGAACTCCTAACCATTTCTAATTCCATTCCATGGCAAAGTGCAACGTGCTCCGAAGCGTTGCTATTACTTTAAGCCCCTCATGAGAAATACAAATAAGGAGACTGTTCGCTAATTGAAGTCTGACTAAATGCTGTCTGAGAGCGAGTTTTCAGGATGGATACTGAGCAGGTCCTGGCGTGCCGTGCCATCGAAGATTTCTCAACAGAGACAGAGTGCTGGCGCCCGACGCCTGACGTGTCAGTGCTGAGCAGAGTGTGCGCCGCGCGAGTCTAGGCCGCTGTTCATCGCCTCCGATTTTCCTGCCGTAGTTATTTCTAAAGTCGCAGCCGTCGAACGGAATGGGGTGTGAGAGTGGGTGATGGCGGCGGGGATGCCCGATAATTGACCACTGAGCCTCGTACATCACCCCCGGACAAGAGCATCTGTTTGTTACCCGCGAAGTCTAAGGCTTAGCATCTCCATCGATTACTGGTCTTGTGCAGTGGATTGTCATCCTTCGTTCTTGCTCTTTCTTGAGTTTCAAGGAAAGTGGGGGGGGGGGAGGGTGGACGGGAGGTGGATCTGTGATGGTATGCGCTTTGACATGTTCTGCACGAAGATCTCAGAAGGTTTACATTGATGTATGTTTCCTAGTTCACATGTGTTGCGTGTACGCACGTGGTTAGTGCGATGCCTGTGGGTTGGGCCAGTCAGTCAACATAGGGCGTACGCAAGGCGCAGTATATTACCACAAAAATTAATATGTTGACGCTAATAAATTCGAAAGGGGGACTGGAAAAGAAATCACGTCGAAAAATGTGTCCGGCCGAAGCTCTGACCTCTGCTTACACCGGTCACACTCCTGCACTTGTCAGCGTATTCTAGGAAGCGAGATACTATAATGAGGGAGCGCATTCGAGGAAGTATATATGTGCCACATAAAGCAGTAGCTTGATTACCAAGAAAAAGAGGTATAGCGCTTCACGACGAGAGCTACGCTGCTTACTGAGCAGTACTTAACAATTCAACGCTTTGTCCCCTGTTGAACTCTCCACCACTAGTGTAGAACGTGTTGAGTTCAGCGGTTGAGCGGTGTCGTGCCAGCAGCGAGGCAGAAGTCTGGAAGCAACTCAACTGAAGCATGGGATTGGATGGGGAGTCAACAAATGCTCAACGGTGAATCTTGTTCATACAACCCCGCTGTGTCTTGCCCGCTGCTGTCGATGTAGGGCGAATACCAACGTCAAATAAGCAGCCTGGCGTTTTGCGGTCTTTGACAGATTTCTGTCGTTTTTTGCCTATGGCGTGGCATTGAGCACCTTCACGTTCCCCTCTCAACTCCTCCAGAATCTATCGTAATCGCTGCTTATAAAGGAATATTGATTTGCACGCATATGTGATATACATCAATTCACTCAAATTTGCGGTACATGCGCATTTATCGACTCAATTCCTCAAAATTATTCAAAGAGGAGAAACAGCTGCCTGCAGCAGATGAGCAATGATGTGAGAACTACAACTCTTGATTGCAAAATTCGATTAATTAGATTAAATGCCACCAGTTTAACTTCGCTTGTCACCTGGATTTTTACTTTCCCACAGCAACAGCTACTGTAGGGCGTAGCATTCTCAGTCGATTCGCATGGAGCCGCAGTTTCCTCGTTCTCTTGCGTCGTTCCCAGTTTTGTTGTTGTACCTGAAAATAGCATATTTATGACATCCACATCCTCCTCTTTCGCTAACCTCGACCCTTTGCTTCTTTTTCCTTTTTTCTGCGTGTTTTGTAACTAACTTCGCTTATTACCGCTCACTTGAGGCTCTACCTCCCCTGTAGTACCGGGACATGCCAGTACAACATGTAGCCTTCTCATGACTCCAATTTTTTGGCCTTGGATGTTCCAGGCCGTACTGAAAAGTGAGCAAAATTTTGAAGTATGCACCGCCCATTTTGCGTACGCCCATTCACAGTATAGTGGTTGGATGTAAGCACAAGGGCTACAGGGCTGTGCTCTATGACGAACATGCCATAGAACTTTTTCAGAAGACAACTGTTAGAGCAGAGTAAAGAATTTAGTGGAAGAAGCGTTATCGAACAAAAAGACTTCTCAATGAGGGTGGGGTGTAATTAGTCTCTGTACCTCCACGGTGCAGGGAGTAGCACGACATGGAACAAGTGAGCTACGGGCCAATTCCTTCAGGTTCCGAAAATAGAACGCCCAGGGAGCAAAAAAGAAGGAAGAGTGCAAGCGCGAGGAGGAGATTGTGCTTTCGAGGACCTCTCTGTCTACTAAGATTAGCACGGGATAGCAGAAATCATGGTGAGCCTTGGTGAGACGCTGGAGCGCCAAGACGCAGATCCCATAACTTTCTGACGAGCAGCCAAGGGCTCAGAATTACCGTCTTCCCAAGATCATCGAGTGTTCAAAGGCGAACTCAGGACTGAACCCAGATGAATGCTTTCTTGATGTCACTTGTCCTGAACTGTTCACGACGGAGCTTGTGGATATTCTGCTCTCCCGGCTCTGAAGTGAGCGACGAGAGCCTTGCGAAACAGCGCCTATTTTCTCTCGTTCGCAGCATCCTGTTGCCTGCGCTTTCTCCATTTATTGAGCTCTCTCGCCCATTCTCTCTCCTCCATGCTCAGTCTTCCACTGTCCTGACATGAAAGGAACAAGCCCTTAACTTCAGGAAATCTGACGGAGCTTTTCTTTTTTTCCCTTTCTGAAAGCACACTTGGCACAAACGCTTTGATTTTCGCGTGCAAGAACCACACCACTCTGGTGCTTGAGGATGGCTTGGACGAAGTCGGATTTAAGTGAATCACAGGTTGAGGGAATTTCTTGTTCAGTACCTGGACAAGATTCCCAGCAAAAAAAACGGTGTTCCGAATGACATAGGGTCATATGAATGGACCTCAGGATTATGATCCTTTTTTCTTGAGCGGTCACGAGTGCAAAAAGGGGCTTGAGAAGATCAAGCGCTACACCTTTTTGATAAAAATTTTGATGACCGACTCACATAAGCTACCGTGGCCCTTATATCAGGCGTTTCAAAAAGTTCTGTCGTTTTTTGACACTCCACTTTTGGATGCTCTATTTTCCTTTAAACCCAGAAAAACTGCAATCGGTATGAATGCCGTTTTGAAGAGCTTTTCCTGCTCTATCTCATGCTTAGCTTAGCTTTGTCCTGAAACATTTTCTCATAGCTTTTCAAAGCTGAATGCGGTATACTCGATGAGACAGTTGGCATGACTTTCTTTTCTTTCTCATGCTTAGCTTCAAATAGACCTGAAAGTAGCAGGAACCATTCCAAAACATTTAAGTGATGCACTTGGCCTAGATTCGCAATAAATGTGCTCATATGCAGTAGTTCGAAAAGTTATTGTAACGAAAGCGAGAGCCTTGGGTATGATACTAGTGGTAGTCAGATATCGGACGTTGCCACCCATTAGCCAAAAGTTCTGATTGAGGCACTCGTGCGTAAGACCATAGAGGAGGTTCTGCCCAACCTGGGCGTATATGGTTTGTAGAGCCAAGCTATACGGAAGTAGCTGGAAAGTCCAAAAAATTTGATAGGGGCGTGCTGCTGCGACAAATCACCATTCTGATAGCGGTCGGTTCACTGCACCATTTGTAAACTTGGTTTTATGCGGTAAGAGCGGCTCGTTTTTCTATAGGTTTGCGACGCATGCATTAACCCATTCGTGACAATGTCAGCCACCGGTGGCTGACAAAGCTCTCACTCGGGACAATGGCTGTGGCTGCAGGGCTTGAAATGGAATTTGGAAAGTTTTCTTCCATGGAAAGAATCTTCATACCCTCGCTCATCTACGCCAGCCCTGGGCAGAGGAAATCTCCCTCCACTCGATTTTATTGAAGAAAAATCTCCTGACGCTGCTGCTATTGCGCAATCCTGCGCGGTCGCGAATGGGTTAAGACGCGAATTTTCTTCTCTACAGTCCACCAAGCTTTGCTGGATAGCTCGAAGTCGATAAAGCTCAACAGACTGCGCAAAACTTAAATTGATGAAGGGTTCTGGCAACTTTCATAAGGTCAACGGCTGGCCTGGGTCTTCCGTATAACAGGAACTAGCTTACAAGTGAAAGCTTCTTATCCATTACGCCAAAAGTCACCTAAAACTCCATATGAGGGCGTGTCCACATTCGTCATTCTATAAAGGGGACACATCTCGAGAAGGCGCCTAGTGACGTATATCGCCCACCGCAACACCTTCACATTTGACTCGCCTAGGACTTCATGAGTGCCTTGTCTGTCGGACATTTGAGATTAGTAGACGTTGGTCTATCTACTGTGCACATTTCTGACGATCTCGATAGCTTCCTTGAAGAGAAATGCATCAAAACCCAACATGATGCCAAATCGACCTTCCCTCAGTTCAACAGCTGCAGCATTCTGAACAAGCGTTCCCAGTAGAATGGTTTCTTATAGAGGAATGTTCGCGCATTCGAATGGTTTTTTAATCAGCTCGAAAGGTTTGGTTTGTGCTGAGATACATGCATTTAAATTTTGGGGTCCGAAAACGACAGATTTTTCTGAAATGAAACTCTCCCGAAAAACTTTATCTGACGACGTTCAGGCCATAAGCCCTCCTCCAGTTGTATAACATCATACATATATTACGTTTTGACATAAAAGAGTGAAACATTTACTGCACATGTATGTATACGAGTTCAAATCTAACCAATTACAAAAAGGGAAACCAATTACAAAAAGGGCTAACGGCCCGGAACGTCGTCAGATAACGTTTTTCGAGAGAGTTTCATTTCAATCAACAACGAAGATGCGTATGAATAAAAGAAAAAATTCAGAATAATTTTACATCTGCGGAAAAATGGGTACCGAGATACTAGCGGCATGCGCGTCAGAATGTCCAATGCAGGCTAAGTGAGTGCCGCGCGATGCGCGGTCAGCTCCCGTAAACGTGTGGAATCGCATAAAGATCAATAATCTGGGCTAATAATGAACGAAATTTGGTGTAGCAGGACAAAAGGAGCAGATCTTGGCATGAAAAATTCTTTGTAACAGGAACTTAGACGTTCAACGACAAAAGCTCGTTGCTTCCCTTGTTGAATGAAGAAGACGAGTAAAATGATGTCGAGAATTCTTTTTGTCATTCTAAGCGTAAATCACAGCAAATAGGATTATGGAAACTCAAATCATTCGGCGTTGATCAATCCCGTTTTGGGATGCGCTGCGCATTCTATTAGGTACCGGATATCTTAATGTCGTTTTTCTGAGTTCAGGAAGTTTCGGGGCCGATTACCATGGAAAATCAATTTCTCAGAACGTTCTTTTTGCTTATTAATACTACGTAATATGTTGCTTATTAGTCCCTATTGTTACTTTACAATTTACCTCTCCCCCAATTTTTATACCTTTTTCTGAAAATTCCTGGGTTCATTGCGCAAATTCGTATGTGTGTACCAAATGCCATCAAAGTCGGGCTGGGAGCTACAGATCCGCCAAACCAAACTAACATTGCTTTTGTTAGAGGGAATACTACCGTTTGGAATGCTCACCGGTTCTCCTCAGTTTTCTTAAAAGACAGTGAAGTTTTTGAAAGGATGCCTGCAATCGTCTTCAAAAAGATGGCCCTAGTTAAGCCAGCTGAGAAGGGGCTGCACCAGACTTGTGCTGAAATGGTAGGATACTTTCACTGTCATGGATTGATGATACTTTCACTGTGGATGGTACGGATGGATGTCGGCAAACATTCCTGATGATTTGATTGGGAGTGTGTCCGAAGAGTAGTTCTGATAAATGTGCTCACCTGCCTCTCACGCGCGCTCAAAAAGGGTGCGTTTTTGACCCTATGTTGCAAAAAAGTCTCCGTAAAAAACTGCCCACTTGGGCTGATTCTTCTAATTTTTCTGTCGTGCAATGCAGACCCTACGCTAACCAGCTGTATACTTACTTTGTCCAGGCCTTACTTTTTAGCAAGTAAGAGGGATGATTTATCAGAGGATGTCAAAACCGACCTGCCTCTCCTTTTTAACTCAAAAAATTCCGAGCTTGGATCGTGCAAGGTTTCCACTCAAACTGTTAGATGAGGGGATCCTAGTAAGTCATTTTATGATTAAACTAATTCACTCCCCGGGTTTTGAACTGAAATATTGCTGGTCCAAAACTCTTGGTGAAAAAACGACATTAAGATATCCGGTACCTAATACTTCCATTCAGTAATCGTAGTGACAAAATGAATGCGATGGCTTATACAATTACTTGCGCGGACCAGCCGCGGTACAACTCAGTGTTTCGCCTCCCAGACAAGTCTGGTACCAATTAACCGACCCCGGAGGGATGGAGGGCTTGGTTGGCCCGGGCGATGCACGACCCAGGATTTGATCCCCGGACCGCACGCGAGATATGCAGCGCCACTTGCCACTATACCAAATCCGCCCTTTACAGCAAATAGGCGACAAGATAATGTTGCTGACATCCCTCAAAACAATCCACATACTTGAAGGGATCGTGAACCGATTATTGTTCCCCCTTATAAATGCGTCATGTGCGACCGAACACTACCTGCAACGTACAAAGTTCTATCGATTCAGCACAGCCTAACTAGCACCGAGAAAGGTTGAAGGATACATAAAATCGTTTTAACGTGAATATGTCGCTGATTTGCAAAAAGATGAGAAGTAAGTGGGAAGTAAGGTAATACTCACTAAGATAAGTTCCATCATTGTTTTTGCAACAGCTTTTCGAGCACGGAAAATTACCAAAATTACAAATTATAAAATGACTAATTTGCGAGCACTTATAAAATGTTCAGAGATACTGTACAAAAATACGTTTCCAATGCAGTACAACCAAGGTGGACGACTGACATGGTGTAATAAATGATAGTG